TCTCACACCCTCGAACCCACCCCCTTGTCTGAAATTTTTCTTCTGCGCATTCAAGGTTACTCTTGGCCTTATTCGAAGTTACGTGACACTTGCTATACAGGGATAGCTTTACCTTATATATTCCATAACGGGCTTGCGACATACACAGTACCCAATAAATGACAACCGACTCTTGCATGCATGTCGGATGCTGTGCCTGTCTTGCAGGATACCTCATTGAATCCACCCCCTCCGCTGAAGAATGAGATAGTCGTGGATCGCTTGGCGTCAGTCCCGGTTCGCGGCCGGTACGAGTCACTGAAGAAGGAAGCTACAGAACTTGAGAGCCAGATCAAGCAACTCCACGACGCCCTGGACACGCTGCTAAGAATTCAGCAAAGGTAGGTGAGAACTCGCGCACAGTACCGACATGGAGGCTGATCTCTTAGTGAATGAGTGGAGTCCGGAGCGCGAGGCTGAAGCACAGCGAACACTTCTGTCTGCTTGGATGTACCACGGTGTTATATCCCGGAAGATATAAATATTCAAGTACGTTAAGTAGTTACATCTCACACTAAAGCGCAGTATCTCTTCTGGTACGATATGTTGTTCGGTAAAAGTTCATGGACGTTTCGGAGGAAAGTACTGCCTCCATCTTCAGGGTAAATATATGGGTATTCGCAAGGAGGAGACAGGTGAAGTATTTGGCCCCTTTTTTTAGAAGAAAATTAAATTTGATTTATAGACAGTAGTAGAAAAATATTGATAACAAAAATTAAATAAAAAGATATTTTTACATCATGAATATTCTAGGGCGCTCAGTAAAATTAATCTTAAATAAGATCCGAATGTCCGAAAAGTCAATAATAATAGTTTGAATTTATGTTTGTGAGCAAATGTTCTGACTGACTCCCTTCCAAAATTGGTTGCCCCCCCTAGCCCCCCTTAGAAGAAATCCTGGCTGCCCCTAAACATGAAAAGTAAGCTAAGTAAGCAACCAGCAAGTACTAAGTAGAGAAACTGTGTTTAGTGCTTGCTTGTTGCTTGGCTTAAACTTCCACTCTGAAGAATGAAGCAGTAAGTTCCTCCGAAATGACGATGAACCTATAAACACAATGCACAAAACATCACAAAAAAATATCACTATTCAGGTACGTTATATGTAACACTTTGAAGTCTGAGAGAGAGAGAGATAAGAAAATGGAGAGGTAGTGAGACACACTACACTTGGGGGGGGGGGCAAGAGACTATATCTCCGGTTTTGAAGGTTCCCAGACATTGCTCGCTTGTCCTTCTGGTAGATGTAATGCATACCGTCATGACATTGCAGGGGCTGCATTATGCTGAAATTTGATCTGACATTGGGAAGGCTACATTACGGAGAAATTTTGATGTTACCACTAGGAGGACTGCATGTGAACTGTGTGGTGCAACGTGGAATTTTAGTACCGAGGGATACGACTGAAACCCTTGATTTTGTTGGTCGGTCACAGGACCTTCCGGATGCAAACGGACTTAGACAGCAGTCCGTCGTTAAATACGCGAACCCTAACAGTAGGTCCTATCTTTGCCGTTGTTTTGTTACAAAAAGACTTACAAAAGTTATTTTTATGGATCTTTCTTTTTATGAGCATATTTTGTATCATTACTAAACAGTTGTGACATTTGCGAAGAGAGTACTGGCCTGTACACACGCAAAGCTATCCCTGTAACAGGCCGTGGAGGCCCATAAGGTTGAGAGACGTCGAGGTTCCCACATCTTGACAATCGGCTCACAGATGGCGATGAATTTGTCAGCCTTACGCTCCGGCCGCCCTTTACCCCCAGGAAGATTCCTGGTACCTATTTCTGTTAGAGGCTGAGTCGACCCCAGGGCCATAGTGCGGTTAGAACTATTAGGGTAATTTAAAGGTCCATTTACCTCATCAGAAATCGAACCCGCGACCTTCCGGTTTGTAGCATAGCGCCTTAACTAACTACGTTACCATGTGCCGTTGTTTATTTTCAGTTCCAACGGGCCACGACCACTTCGTTTACAATTTGGTTCACTATTATCCGATCATTCGAGACCCTGTAACCTTATCTCTTGAATGGATAGGTAAAGAAAGCAGATGTGAATAAATAGACTTGGATGGGTTTCAATTAATTGCAAAGACGCCACGTTCTAGTAACGTCTGAAATGAGACTCCAGAACAGTATTCATGCATAATGACGCTGAGGATGTGGGAGACAGTCTCCAGAAGTGACGTCAAATTGAATTACGCGATTCCTACTGAACTAGTTTTTATCCTAATAACTTGGAAAACATTTTCCTGCTCATAGCTAAACCGAGTTCCAGGAAATACATTTCTGCCCACGGAAGGTGTCAAGACTCGTAATATTCAGTCGGAATCAAGAAGTTCAAGCGGCCCCCTTCTCGTCCCCCTCTTGATTCAAATTTGTGAATTCCGTACCGTCGTTGGAATTCCTGTGTCCTCTGAGATGTTACAATCAGAGCGGTTAAAGGGTGAAAAGTACATATACGAGTAAATGAGTTATAATGTAAAGGAGTTATGTTAGCTTACTTGGTTGAGGCACTATGCTACAAGCCGGAAGTTCGCGGGATCAAGTCCCAATAAGGTCATTGGATTTTTTTCAATTGACCTAATCCTTCCAGCCTCACTATGGCCTTGGGTTCGACACAGCCTCTATCAGAAATGAGTAACAAGAATCTTCCTGGGGTTAAAGGGCGGCCGGTGAGTAAGGCTGACAACCTCACCGTCATGTGTGAGCCGATTGTCTAGAAAATGTGGGAATCTCAACCTCTCACAAGCCAATGGGCCTCCAAGGCCTGTTGGTTTTGAGGTCCCCACAGCGGTGATAATGATACGTACTGTCTTCTGGGGTATGGTACCGACTTTTCGGAAGAACGTACTGCTTCCATCTTCAGAATCGAAAAGTAATTCAGGCAAGCAAACGAGCAAGATATAGGCGGCAGGAAGAGCCCCGATTGCTTCTTTATTGGGTTAGCGTTTGATCCTGAAGATGGAGGCAGTATGACCTTCTGAAACATTGTTCAACTTGTACCGGATTATGCTGTGTCACATCTCAGAATACATAAAATAATTAATTCGCAGTGGAATTTGTGTTATCGAGTAGATCTGCTTGCTGTTATGTAGGCCATAAATAATATCGCTCCAGGCACACACTTCTTTACACCGAGGACTTTAATTTTTTTGAGCACATTCAGACCAATTAAATTCCGTGGCCTGTAGTCCGCAAGCGAACTACACCGACCGAGCGACCGTCGCTTGTCGGCGAAGTTAGTGACAACTTTAGTGGATAGAGGGTGTCACGTGGTCATCGCAGCGGATCCCCATGGCCGTTAACCTCAGTTTTCTAGACCGGAGCCGCTATTTCCATGAAACAGCTCCTCAGTTATCCTCACGAGGCTGAGTGGACCCCGTTCCAGACCCACTACTTCTAAGAAAATCTGGTAGAGCCGGGAATCCAACCCGGGACCTCTGGATCTGTAGTCAGGAACTCTGACCACTAGACCACAGAGGCGGTCACGTTCGGACCAACTTTGTGTTTTAATACTTTAAAATAAGCTACGATCTCTTCTTCCCATATTTTGTTCCGTTTATCTTTCGTAGATATGATGCGTAGAATACGCTGCCTAACTGATGGAGCTGAATAACGTCATCAAATAACAATGTTTCATTGGTTCTTAATTCGTTCCATCTTCCTGAATACAGCGGATTCAGTAGACAGAAGGAAGCATGAATAATTCGCGATGTGCCAGAGAAAATGGAGATTCAGTTTTACCTTATGTCTTTATGCCATGTACGTCACAGAAGTCATCAATCAAGCAGCTGTCACAGTGTCATACAAAGTTGAAGGACTAATTTCTGTGTATTGCGTTGCCTAGCAACCTCTTCATTCGGTGTTTCGACTGCGTAGGTCACCCATGAAACGAGTCACATGACAATTCACATAATACTAATATATTAATTACTTTTGCATGAAGGGAAATTAATTTATATAGACTATTGTATTGGTAATATTAATTAACGTCAAAATTAGTTTAAGAGATTCAGATAAAATTAGTCTACAGCATAGAGAGTTGCACGAGTCGTGAGGTAGTAAAATATTGTCATGATTCCCGTAGGATTCTCGAATGAACAATGACTGTGCTGGCAAATGCCAGCAGAAATTTAACCAACCCTACGGATCGAGACAGTTGCACGTCTCCCAGCGCCGTTAAAGAGTATAATATGGCCATAAGCCCCGCGGGACGTGGAACCTATGCTGGCGAGAACCCCCAGAAATGTAACTGACCGACGGAATCGAGACAGTTGCAGGACTCCTAGAATGTTGAGACGGTGTGGACATGAGTCCCGAAGGACGCTCAGCTTTCCACATGCTTTTACTGGTTCCTTGCTTGGCCTATTATTCGATCCTGAATATGGAGGCAGTATGTAACACTCCCTCCGAAGTACACGGCTGTACAACCCTGAACACCGTAGTGTTCGTATTGCCACTCTCCCGTGTCCCACACATTAGCTGAATGAAACAAAGCAATTATGGATTTAAACACTTAGGAAAGTGAGGTCTGCATACAAATGTTGATCAAAATTTCGACATGTCTAAAATTAACGGTCGCCTCTTGACTTCCTTGATGATACACTCCTTTGAACGGAACAAGTTAATTTTCAGGTCAAAAGGTAAAACTATCCCTGTAACGGCCATGGGGGCCGATAGGGTGTGAGACGTCGAGACTCCCACATTATCTAGACAATCGGCTCACAGATGGCGGTGAGGCTGTCAGCCTTCCGAACCGGCCGCGCTTTACTCCCCAGGAAAATTCCCGGTACTCATTTCTGTTAGTGGCTAAGGCGACCCCAAGGCCATAGTGCGGCTGGAAGGATTAGGTCAATTAAAAATCCATTGACCTCATCTGAAATTGAACCCCGCAACCTTCCTGCTTGTAGCATGGAGCCTCAACCATCTACTCTACCACCTACCCAAGTAAATTTTTCAGGTTGTTTTAAAAATGAAACTATTATATTTAAGCATCCTGTTGCACTCAATGCGATACATGATACAAACTCCGTCTTCAGTGCAAACCATATATTGTAGGTCTTTCGTTTTGCTCTCCCCTACACACTACATATTTCGGCCACAAACGGCCATCATCAGTTGTATTACTCACGTATCTGTCACACTGCACTTAGTTTAACATTTAAAATCTAAAAACACGGGTCTTCCTGATTGTTCCTTTCGTCATTATTACTAAAATCTACTTCGTTGATATCTTTGTTATTTACACACGTCAATTTTGACTTCTCTGAATTGGCACTTATAAAATCTTCAGTTCTAATTTTAAAATCTTTTAAATTTTAAAATTTAAAATTGTCAGGGTTACTCGCCCTATGTCTATAGTGCTGCAGCGGCTACTCCTTGTTTCTAGTGATGTACCGGTGTTATTCTGTGTAGTCTCTGTGTGCGTGCCGCTGCTTATCTTTACTACTACTATTATATTAAAATGTTGTATTATGCCGCGATAACAACATTCTTGCATATGTTTTTAGGAGCTTGGAATCGAGCCTATATAACAAGGCGAATGAGCTACAAGAAGACATCAGCATGAAGAGGTTCGATCTCCGAGTAGCGCAGATTCACCTTGGAGCAGTCAGGGCTCAGGTAGGTGCATACGTAAAACCAATTAATTCAGTGACTTACACACTTTTTATCATAAGTATTTCCGGACAGATCAGCAATTTTAAAGTACAGCGGTTGTAGGATGTGTGAAGTCTGGACGATTTCGCAGTCTAGACCAGGTTTAGAATCAGGCCGTATCAGTGTGAGCTCAGACTGAAAACACTGGTTTTGCAGTCGACGAAATTTTTCTATTGACACAGTACAATACAGTAAACCCTCGCTGATTAAGGTATTGTAACGTGGATGGCCACAGCTTTGCTAAGCAACGGCTCAGTAAATAGACCTCAACAATAAAGAGAGTGTTTTCTGTGGGGTCCGCGCCGCGACCGTTGCTATGCAGTGGTTTGGTAAACACGTTTTAAAAACAGAGGCTGTTTCTTTCTGTGGGGTCGGTGCAAAGGAGTTAATCTTAAAAACAAACGGCATTCAGTTTAGTTCTGTGTTCTGAATTATGAGTTTTAAATGACAGAGTTCTGAGTTCTCCGTAGAAGATAGCCACGGAAAGTTCGTCGAAGAAGACAGGAAGACTTCATAGTGATTTGAATTTGAAGTGATAATTTCTGTGTTGAGATCGGTTGCTAGGAGACGACTGGTGAAGACTGGGAATCCTAGTGCGTGTGCAACGGTGATTTATAAATTGTAAATCAGCGATAGCGCTGTAGTAAATGTAATTAAGAGAGATTGTAATCAAAGTGGTAATGAATCCAGTCGTCCGGACTAGAACCCGTCATTCTCATGCTGCGTATTAACTCTACACGTAACAGTATAATCCGAATTAATGAAGCAAAAGATGGCTGTAAAAGACAAAAACAAACTTAGAACGTAAGTAAATGTAAAATTTAATGGTATAAACAGTGCTGATAAAAATAAATAAAAAATATTACTGTAGAGCCCTTATTTAAAAAATATAAAAAGACAATATATTTATTCATCGACAGAAGACTCAGAAGTTTTACTAGTTTCTTGAAAGTAATAACGCTTATTTGAAGAAACTGTCAAGTTTCGTCTGAGCAGACACGTGACTCTTCTGCCTTCCTAAATTCCATGTGCCTTTTAAAGTATACAACTCACCTCCAGCTAGTGCCGAAGTCAAGAAAATGTGGATCTATATATCCACTACCCCATACGTTTTCATGGCGTAATGCTTAATTATTTAAGCACAAGGATAGCTTTAGCTTTTATTCCACCGTGAACAACATATTTTATATTTCAATCCGCATTAACTGTAGTCAGATTAGCGAGGGTTTACTGTATTTTAGTTTACTAATCTGTATTGTTAATACACTACCCACTTTTGTAAGGAAACATGCTATAACGCTAGAAATAGCAATACTTTCCTTGTCTGTCGCTTCTTTCCGAAATGCCTTATTATATCTTAATTTACATAAAGACACTCTCAGCTGCTACGATTATAGAGTTTGTACCACAAGTGGTGATTTATGGTAGTGCATGAGGGGAGCAGTTACCAAGAGAATTGCTTTGCATTAAGCCAGGCAGCAGACTGACCTGCTTCACCTCTCTACGCTCCATTCAACCAATTGAATTCGTTCATGTTCGTTACTCCGCCCAAGACAAAACACTACTGTTTCTGGCGCCTCTTGTGGCGGGAGCAGCACGCGTTGAATGATGCGATAACTAGTGAACTCTGTACTGGAAAAGACGAAGAGGTCATAACCTAATAAAGGTACCTTTTAAGTTGGTTGTTTAACGACGCTGTCGGTGTCGAGATTATATAGCAGAAATGACAGGATGATTAATGTCTGTGGAGGAGTGAATTGCCAAGTGAGAAGGTGCATTAAACCCTCGTTATAACGGTGAAAATGTAAAGTTGTCCCTGCTCTCAACGAATTAAGCACTATACCTTGAAGATGTATGGGGGGAGTGTATGTATAGATCCACATTTTCTTGACCTCGGCACTAGCTGGAGGTGGGTGGTCAGGTTCACGTCCCAGCCGATTTATCCCCGGGGAATGACCCCCCCCCCGGTACCCCTAGGGTAGGAGGTTATTGACCCCCAGAACCGGTCTGGACCTCATGGAGAAGAGAAAATTCTTTTAACCTACCGGGACTCGAACTGCGACCCCTCTGTCGGCCAGCCCGTAGCTAGTCGCTATCTCGGCTCCTAACTGATCATGTAACCAGTCAAATTTCATGTGTTGTAGAGCGAAGAGATCATGATCGGGGTAGACAGAAGCGTTCAGATCATATGCGCCCTAAAGCTCTGCATTTACTTTGAGGGAAATCTGTACACTCCCCCGAAAAACGGAGTGACGTCACGTTATTGGGATTCAACCCACGATCCTTGAGAGGCAGAGTTTCTTCTGTCGGAGATATTCTACAAAGGCGAGAAACCAGATACGTACATCCGGGAGAGAAATCGCACCTGAAGTAATTTATCTGTAAACTCCAAGGGAACACAGTCGAACTGTTTAACAGGCGTGAAAATCTCGATGGTTTCTTCAACAAGTAATGTAATACGTACATGCAAACTGCTGTAATTAATTATCCGTTGCTCTGAAGTGGAAGTAAGGTCAGTTGTAGCATTTCCATTTCTTGTAACAGCTGCGACTGAACATCCATACTGGTATCTTGTGGGGGCTGCTTGTCACAGACACTTCTTGTGCTTGTACATTTCATTACAGGTTCATGGGCCTGTTTATTTGTAGTTACTCTCCCTGTTATCTCTGAGATAATTGGATTCAGCCTCAATTTAACATGACAGAGACTTTCCTGCTTCACACCAAAAGGGGGACAGAATGAGTCATCTTCCGCCCTGATGTTTCGACTTCGAATCTCAACAAGAATGTTCATATTAATGCAAACAGTGTATCTCTTATCTCTATCTCTTATTTCCAACCAACCAGGGAACTGACTTACTGTCACGTGTGTGACTATAGATGGGGATTGGATTGGATATTGAATTTATTGACCACTTATACACACGACTTGTAAGTACAAGTAATTACAGCACCATGGCTAATCTCAACAATTCACAAATCACCAAAGCACCGGGTAAGCCTTTTTCAGCCTGCTGTGTCTTCACCAGCCGTTCCCTGGTAACAACTTCTAACAGTGGAGATTCTTCAGCTTCACGCACCCAGGACCTCTGTTCACAGACTCCCTTACCGAACTGGCTCTGTCGCCCCAAATGTCTTCAAGATATCTCCTCGGCACGGACCACGTAGAAACACCTCGTTTCCAACAGTACCTCTATTGTTGCGCGTCGTTTCGTTGCTGCGGGATCGTGTTTACCGAATCGTTGTCTAGAAACGGCCCTGGTATATTCGCCTATCTGACGGTCGTCGCATAGTAACGGCTCTACACGATACGATATTCTGCTAATACCGAACCTCATCATTGAAAAAAAACAGGTCAGGTAGCTGTTGTCCTGCTTGAGCATTTTTCGTGCAGATTTCATATTTTGTTTGTTTTTCGAACCTGACGATGGAGGTGACGTATTCCTCCGAAACGTCGGTTCCGTTTCGCCGAACTACATGTGTTTGTATCTCAGAATATAGAGCTCTCTACAACCACCGCTGTGAGAGCACCTGAGACCCTTCATGGCAGTTCCTGTTAGAATTTAGTACTGGGCAGAGAAATGAAAGTCATACGGGAAGGGAAACTGGACTTCAAATCAAATAAGAGCTTTGAAAATTTAGGAACTTTTGTTTCAAAAAGGTAGGTTTATATTGCCTCTAGTGAAATGAAGCGACTCCGGTCACGGTAGCCGAGCGGTCTAAGGCATGCCCTGTCTTCGCTCGCTTGGGAACCGGGATCGTGGGTTCGAATCCCACTCAGAGCATAGATCTGAAGTTTGTGTGTCCGTTTTTCTGTGTTTGTGTACAGGTAGAGGCCTTGCGATGAGCTGATCACCCGCCCAGGGAGTCCTACCGAATGTGTAAAATCTAGAAAAATCGAAGTGAACGAGGAAGTTCATGGAGGTAGGCCTAGGCCCACTGGGGCTGTAGTGCCAAGGAAAAAAATGAAGCAACTTGCTCATTTAAGCTAAATATCCTTTCATTATCAAAGACTTAATATAAACGGGCGTATTAAGGATATATTTTATGAGTGGTCTATGCTTCTTCATGAGTTATTTAACCCTTTATAGAATAACGTTGTTTTAAAATAATGACCTGAACCTGTGTTCTTGCATCCCAGGAGAGAACATCTCGTCTCTATTATAGAGATTTTTTCCCTTGGCACTACAGCCCCAGTGGGCTGTACCCAGTGCCATGAACTTCTACGTTCACTTCGGTTTTCCTAGATTTTACACATTCTGTAGGACTCCTTGGCCGGGTGATCAGCTCGTCGCAAGGCCTCTACCTGTACACAAACATAGAAAAACTCACACGCACAAACTAAACATCCATGCCCTGAGTGGGATTCGAACCCACGATCCCGGTTTCCAAGCGAGTGAAGACAGTACATGCCTTAGACCGCTCGGCTGCCGTAACCGGCATTATAGAGATTAGCCAAATGATATTTAGAGAAACAGTCGCTGTTTGTGCTGATGACAAAATGAACTCCATTGACGTGTACACCTGTATTTGAGTGCCACACCATGAAGATGTATAGGGAAGTGGAGTTATAGCTCTCTGCATTCTAAATGGGACTAGATGTTGGGTGTGGGAGAGATAGGTTAGGGCATCTTGCGCCAAATTGAGCAGTGAGCGCTAGTTTTCTTCTGTTGAGCTCTTGCAGTGTCTCCCAAACGGCGCTCCGCGGAACGCTATGGCTGCGCGAAGTGAAAATAAGGACTCGTAACTATGCTTTATTACATATCAAAACCACAAGAACTTCTGACAATCGTTTGCGATCTTCTGGGTTGTAACCTTGTATAGTCTGGTGAATTCCATTGACGTTTAGGAGGAACGTTTCACCTGTACCTTCAGAGGTATTCCTGTCACGTGATTTCTTGTTTGTTTCATGCTTTCTTAATAGTATGCATCCTGTGGCGTGTTATAAATGAGGTGTATAAAGGT